GAAGGGAGGCCCTGCTCATGTGGGCACACGGCCCCGCCCTTCCGCGCTGCCCACGCCCAGCCAAGCCCAGTCACCCTGCCCCTCGTTAGCAGCCTGCCAGAGAGATGGGGTTCTAACTGGATTCTCCATGAGCGAGCATCCTCTTCCCCACGCTCCCCACCCCCTCCTGGTACCTGAGGGCGCCAAGGGCGACCTGGGAAGAAGACCGCGAGTGAGGCAGCCGGCAAGGCCCGCAGGCCCTTGTGACAGCTCAGTCCTGGGCTGATAATGAAGATGGCTTTGAACGTACAAGGGACAATAAATTATTACTTTGCGCTCAATAAATGCCAGGGCTCCAGGCAGCTGCATCAGCAGCAAACTGTGCTCACAGAAAAGCTTAATTATCCTGATATTATAGTTAAAAGCCAGTGGTACTTGTGTCCTGGGAAGACAGTTTTCATTTGGCAGGAGGCAACCTGGGCCAAGCTGTGGGCCGCTGAAGCTAGTGTCCTGGGTCCCCAATGCAGCCCTGGATCTCCAGGACCCTGCCTTGACAACTCCTCACCCCCACAGGGTGAGAGCAGAGCCTTTGTGCCTATCCCTGCCCAGGTTCCTAGGGCTATTTGACATAGAGACTTGAAGGAGGCGCAGGAGGGTAGGCAGAACACCGCGCCATTCAAGGGCATGGAGAAATAAGCTTCCAGGGCTGAGGAGCCCCGGGAGTCACCAAACAGCAAAGAGGACAATCACAGTGGTGCCATCCCAGAGGCTGACGTGTAGACCCTGGGGATTTTGGCGCCACGGACGGGCTCACTTGAAGACCCTCAGTGGATACGGTGTGACAGCATCCTGTGACTGGTGTTATTATTATTCCCTGCAGAGGAAGAGGAGGGCGGAACTCACCGTGCTCCCTAGGGAACACGGCTTTCTGTTTAGTTCTTTTCAACTGCACTAGGCTCCTCCCTACTCCAGACGCCAGTCATTGTCCAGTGCCCTTCCTGACCTCATCCTGGAAGCAGGTGGCAAGACTTCCGCTCTTAAGTCTCATTCCTCAGACAGTCTTCTGGTCCTTAGCCCTTCCACAGGCTTCCAGTTCTGCTCATCAGATCCTCTCTGGATCCTCTTTCTGTACCTCAACTGCTGTAAAGAATCCCAGGCAGCAGGCAGGTGGTGTGGAATTATCTGAGGGAGCCACTGGGAGAGGATTTCTGCACAGTTGTTTCAAGAAGCTGTGAAAAAAGGGCAGTAGCAGAAGGATGGCAGAAGGGGGGACTTGACAAAAGGATCAGTGGTAAGGAGAGGAAGCCAGGAAAGAAGAATGTGCAGAGAGGGAGAAAGGGCTACCAACAGAAGAGGGAGGTGGGAGGTTCTGTGGCTGAGGGGAGTTTGGGGAGATACTGGCAAGTGGCATGAGATTCCTCTTTTTTCCTTAAAGGGATTCTCGAACTCATCCTTGATTCCTGGGCCCCTCTGGACTAAGCAGCTTTCGCAGAGGAGGGTGAGTCATGACCCAGTGATGAACCTTGTATGCCAGGATGATTCATATGGATTTGGAGGCTGGTGGCAGGCTTGTCTCCTGGCAGCTGGGCTCCTTGATGGGCTGGGCACTCACAAGAAGAAGGGTGAGAGGAGTCACCCAGGAACTTGGCACATCATCCTCCTCATTGCCCCAAGAAAGAAAAGCTTTTAGGAGGGGGTTCAATGGAGACTACAAGTCCCAGAATGCAGCACTCTGCCCTGAGCTCAGAGGATGGGTTTGTACTGCATAATGGGAAGAATAATGCACCTGGGCTGTCCCTTCCCCTTAAAGGTGGTCAATGTGGTTTCCATGGAATGGATTCCCAGTTAGGTTGAGGCAGAGCCTGGGTCAAACTGGGAAGCAGTAGAGTTTATGTCAAGCACCCTGTCTCGTGAGCTGCAAAGGGTCCATTGTGTCCAGATCTCAGCATCACCCACAAATTGAGGACAATAGATGCCCTAGGGGACATTCAACTGTATGCTGCAGGCTTATTGTGTACTCAAGTCATATACACATTTGAAAGTGGCAGCCTGGGGAGACTTGCAAGTCTCCCTTCACTGGTCTTATTTCTCGCATTCTCTCCGTGTCTCAGACCTGGCTCTTTGCCCCCAGAGGAGCCCGGGTTTCCCTTGTTTATGCGATTGCTTGCTTAATTTCCTGTCTTCTCTACTAATTGTCAAATCTGTGAAGGCACAGAGCATGTCTGTTTTCTCTACTACCAACCTAGCCCACCACCCAGCACATAGTGGATAGTTAATAAATATTTATGAATGATGGCACGGGTGGGGTGTCTAAAGCCCAAGGCAAGTCATTGGTGCCAAATGAGTGTTGTGAGATAATGGCGAAGGAGACAATTGCTTCTTTTAAAAATATATATATTTTTATTGATTTTTAGAGCGAGGAAGAGAAAGGGAGCGAGAGATACATCAACGACAGAGAAACATTGATCAGCTGCCTCTGGCATGTCCCCTACTGGGGATTGAGCCCGAAACTCGGGAATTGAACCGGTGACTCTTGGTGCATGGGTGGACACTCAACTACTGAGCCACACTGGCTAGGCAGACAATTGCTTCTATGAATATAAGAAGAGGTCATTGAAAGCTTTAAACAGAAGAAAGGTGGACTAAAATGAAGTCTTAGATATGTTTTAGGTTTCAGTCAGTGGAGAGGAAGAGGGAAGACATCCAAAGTTGAGGGAGTGTCTTATACAAAGCAAAGTAGTGGAAAATGCAAGATAGTCTGGGGTCAGTGAGAAGACCTGTTTTAGTGGAGCAGGGAGTCCCTGCAGGGTTGAAGGAGGAAGGGATGGAGTAGGCTGGGGTCAGGATTTGTGGTTATCTGAGATGCGTGGCACCCTTGTTGGCTATGCTGAAGGGATTACCCTATCATAAAGATATTTGTACCAAATCAAGGGAGTCTGGAATTATTAAGGTAAGTTTTCAAGCACTATGGCAAGTGGTAAGAACTGAGGGGTTCACTGCTGACTCAGAAAGTGTGTGTGTGTGTGTGTGTGTGTGAGAGAGAGAGAGAGAGAGAGAGAGAGAGTTACAATGGCTGTGTTAGGACTGAGAGCCAGAGAGAGGGAAGTAGGGGCTCTCTCACTCCAGGGATCCTCACAGCCTCAGCCCAGACAGTGTCAGACATCCAGCCTATAACACTGGAGAAGCCAGTACCACTTTCCCATTTTGGGATCACGGGCACATTGGTAACTGATTTTAAACTCTCTCTCTGAGTGAGAGGAGAAAAAAATTAGTCTTTCCTAAGATTTCAAAGCAGAGCTCTATCTTCCGTGGAGCCAGGAGGCTTCAGGGGTTTCAGGGAAGGAGGGGCCAGGGGCTGCTTCACTTCAGAGACCCTCAGGGCACAGAGCCGCCTGCTCACCTCAATCCACTCCTCTGAGGGGGCTCCCAGACCCTGCAGCATCTGGAACAGTCTGGGATGCCGTGGCTCTCGCCAGGTTCCTGGAGTACCCAAAGTCAAGCCTGAATTTAGGGGTGAGAGGAGGGCCCTGCCCTGGTGACCGGGGAGTCCTGCGCCCTGGCTCCTGAGCATTTGCTCTCGCTCTGGGAGCAGGAGCAGGTCAGCTGTGGCAGAGCCCAGCGTCGATGGAGACAGCAGTAGAAAGTGGTTTGAGCTGCTTCCCATCTCCAAACCGAGGCCTCCAGCCTGCCCACCACCCCCAACCAAGGCCTTTGATCCTCCTCAGCTTCATAAATGTTTAATGCCACCAGCTGGGCAGGAATGAGGCACTGGTGGAGGAGCAGAGAGACTGCGGATAGGACTTAAGATCCACGATGTTGGCTAGATTATTTTCACGCAGGAGCCCTGGGATGGTGGGCGGAGGCCTTCCCCTCCACGTGGCAGGAGAAGAAGTCCCAGGGTTTAAGTTTGTGGCACTAATAAAGGAAACTCTGAAAACCCATCAAGGGGTTGAAAAATAAAACAAATAATCAATTGTGGAAGCCCAATCCCCAGTTTGATTGAAGGAGAAAGATGAAAGTTAAATGACAATCAAATGCAAATACAGCTCAACAAACACCACAGCAATTACCAGGCGCGGGAACCACATGGTGCTTGCAGGCGGCGGGGGCTGGCGGTTTGGAAGCCTGCGCCTGTGCGGAGGTGATGGAAGTGGGGCCATTTTAACGGACAGTTAAATAGATGGAAAAAAACCAACCCCAAACCACTCTGCATCTACTTTGCATACACAGCTAATGAGTGGGGAGCAGGAGTGCTGGCATCCAGAGGGAGGTCACGCCACCTTCTGTGGCTGCCTCTGCGTCATTTCAGAACCGAAGAGGTGAGGCCAGAGTGGGCTCTTGGATCAGAGGACCTTGAAAGCTTCACACCAGTTTCACTGGATTCTTCATACCAGCTGGTGCTGAAGGGATGAGGGTTGAAGTTGAAGGGAGCCTGTGGGTTCCTCTGGGAAAGGGCTCAAGGTGCTGGCCTTTCAATAGCCCAAAGGCCCGGTGAGAGCAGCCTTCTCCTTTAGATTTGCATAATTATTTGCATATCATTTGAATGCTATTAATTTGCTGTCAGGCTAGGTTGGCTCGGTGTAGAAAAAGAGAACAGCTGGCCTTCTCCCTCCCCTCTGTGCCCCGAGGCTCACCCTGAGCAGAGCCCTCCCTAACTTGGGGGGCACAAGGCCTCCATTTCTGCCACCCACTCAGTGTTCCCTGGCACTTGGAGAGTCTCTTGGTGAAGCCAGCTCCTAAAAGCCAAGGCTGCCTGGGCAGTGGGGCCACCTGCAGAGTTATACAGAAGGAAGAGGGAAGGATCCCCCACAGTTGGTTGCTTTCACCCTTCCCAGAGGAGCCATGGGAGGATGCTGGCAGCCTTCTCCCCAAGCAATCAGGCGGCTTGGCTTGGAAAGTGTCCAAAGATAATAACCCAGAGAGGGCGGGAACAAAGACAGGTGATAATCCCAGAGAAATATAGAGGGCTCTCGAAATAAAATTCTCTGAACTCAATATTTCCAGTGCTTGAACTTACATAAAATCCATTTGTCCAGAGGCATTGGGTTTATGGTGGCGTGGCTCGGGGGCCGGGTAGCAGGATGATAGCCATGCGGTGGGAACTGGGTCATCAGGTGGGGTGAGCTCCTGAGAAAGGGAGAGGAGGCCCCAGGTGCACCATGTGGGTTGCCCCTGGCAGATGGGACTCAAGGGGCTACAGTGAGCTGGGGTGGGGGTGGAAAGAGCAAAGCTCGCCAGGCTGGCTCAAAGGCATCTTCATTCCTTCCTATTGGATCCAGCGAGGATGCTCCACTAGTTTCTTGCCTGAGGTGGCCTGACCTGCAATCTTGGCCAGTAGATCTGAGAATATTTATGCCTAGGACAAGCAAGGAGGAGGTGCCAGTGACCAAAAAGCTGGTCTCCTTTTGTCATGAAGAGCCCTTCCACCCTACAGAATCCAAAGGCCAACTTCACCAAACTCTGGGGACTAGGGCAGGATGGGGAGGCATGAACAAATATCCCCGCCAGATTGACCTCATTCCTCTGCCCATGGTGGTACTCACTCTGAGTCAAGCTGTGGCTGGGGCAAAAGACAAGATTAGGGGGTTGCTTTGAATAATGTGAGAGGGTAATTGAGTTTTCCCTTGAGCAAACCCAGGCATGAAGCTTTGGGACTGCATAAAGGATGGACTCATAGCTGGTTCATATTTTACAAGAGGGCTTTAAGTATTTCCTTTTTAAAAAGATTGTCACATACATTTAAAGCAGATTCATAAAAATTTAGTATGTTCTCCATTTTCTTTTTTACAATTTCGGCCCTGAATCTAGTGGGCTGTTCCTGACTTTTAAAAATAAGAACAATGGCACCATTTATTATTTACTGTTACTGGACATTGAGCTGGGGGATGTAACCACATCCTCACAGTAGCTAGTTACTGGTAAAACCAAGATATAAAACCAAGGCAGAGCAGAAAGGCCCAGGTGCCAGTGGCTCTTTGCAGGAGCAGATGTGGGAGGGATCTCAGGTGCCCTGGACCTCTGGCCTCTGCCCTGGGTTCACCTCTAGGAGGCCTGTGCCTAGATGTTCTCCTCTGGTGCCAGTCCATGGAGGATGGGCTGCTTAGAAAAGGCAGTGCAGGCAGAGATACTTATTAAATGTTTTATTAGAAAAATACTTATTAAGTATTCACTGTGCTATGTGCTGGGGATAAACAGGTGAGTGCAAGCAGCCACTGCCCCTATCTATTCGTAGCTCATGGTCTAGAATGGGAGACCTCAGACAACCACCTGGCTAAATGCAAAATTGCAATATAGCTGGTGCTCATGAGAGGTTCCCAAGGCTGTGGAGTCCTACACTGGGGATTTGACTAGTCAGGGAAGGCTTCCTGGAGGAGGCAGTGATTGAGTAGGAAGTCAAAAGACGAGTATGAGTTATGTGATTGAAGAGGGAAGTGCATTCCATGCAGAGAGAACAGTATGTACCAAGTCCTGTGGTAGGCAGGACCTAGAGATAATTAG